TTTTTGGAAAACTTTAAGGAGAATGGGCATTATGTCTTCTCTGTATGTCTGATAAAATTCTGAGGTAAATCCGTCTGGCCTGGGGGTTTTGTTCTTTGGTAGTTTTTTGATTACTGCTTCAATTTCGTTGCTGGTAATTGGTCTGTTTAGGTTTTCTATTTCTTTCTGGGTCAGTCTTGGAAGATTATATGTTTCTAGGGATTTATCCATTTCTTCTATTTTATTGTGTATAACTTTTTTGTAGAATTCTCTTATAATTCATTGAATTTCGGTGGTATCACTTTTGTTTCTGATTTTGTTTGTGCCCTCTCTCTTTTTCTTGATCATTCTGGCTGAGATTTTGTCTATTTTGTTTATATTCTCAAAGAACCAGCTCTCAGTTTCATTGATATATTCTATTATTTTCTTATTCTCTGTTTTATTTATTACTGTTCTAATCTTTATTATGTCCCTCTTTCTACTATCTTTGAACTTTGTTCTTCTTTTTCTAGTTTCTCTGCTCGTAAGGTTAGATTGTTTATTTGGGATTGTTCTTGTTTCTTAATTTAGGCCTGTATTATTATGAACTCCCCTTTCTTTGCTTTTGCTGCATCTCACATATTTTGAACTGTTGTTTTTCTTTTTTCATTTGTCTGCATGTATTGTTTGATTTCCTCTTTGATCTGCTCATCGATTCGCTGATTATTTAGAAACATGTTGTTTAGCCTTTATGTTTTTGTGGGTTTTTTTTCTGGTATTTTTCATATAATACCATTGTGACTTGAGAAGATCCTTGATACAATTTCAATCTTAAATTTATTGAGACTTATTTTGTGTCCTAATATGCGATCTAGTCTGTAGAATGTTCCATGTGCACTTGAGAAGAATGTTTATTCTGCTGCTTTTGAGTGGAATATTCTGTATGTATCTGTTAAGTCCATCTGGTCCAACGTGTCATTCAGTGTCACTGCTTCCATATTTATTTTCTGTCTGGATGATCTATCCAGTCTTAAAAATGGGGTGTTAAAATTCCTCTACTATTATTGTTACTGTCAATTTCTCGCTATCAGTCTGTTAGTATTTGTTTTATCCTATATTGGGCCCATAAATATTTACAATTATTATATCCTGTTATTGGACTGAGCCCTTTATCATTATGTAATATCCTTCTTTGTGTCTTGTTAGCTTCTTCATTTTGAAGTCTATTTTGTGTGATAGAAGTTCTCCTACTTTTTTCTCTCTTTTATTTATGAGGAATGTCTTTTTCTATCTTTATACTTTCAGTCCATGTGTGTCTTTAGGTCTGAAATAAGTCTCTTGTAGGTAGAATATAGATGGGTCTTATTTATTTATCCATGCAACCACCCTAATTCTTTTGATTGGTGCATTTAGGCCATTTTCATTTAAAGTAATTTATGTTAAGGTATGTGCTTATAGCCATTTTGTTAATTGTTCTCTTGTTGTTCTTGAATTTCTTCTCTCCTTTTTCTTCTTTCACTCTCTTCCCTTGTGATTTAATAATTTTTTTAGTGTTATGCTTGGAGTCCTTTCTTTTTATTTTTAGTAAATCTATTATAGGTTATTGGTTTGTGATTACCATAAGGTTCATACATAGCTTCCTAAATATATAATAGTCTATGTTAAGTTGGTGGTCACTCAATTTTGGACACATTATAAAAGTACTGCTTTTTTATTCTTATTCCTCCTCCATATTTCATATATATGATGCCATAATCTACATCTTTTTATTTTGTGTATCCCTTGACTAATCTTTTATATAGTTGATCTTGCTACTTTTGTTTTTTGTACTTCATACTTGCTTTGTAAGTGATTGGTCTACTATCTTTATTGTAGGTTTGTTTTCATGGATGAAAAATATTTAGACTTAAAAACATTTCCTTCTAAAGAAGTTCCTTTTCAGATCCTGGAAGGTCAATTTAGTGGTAGTGAATTCTTTCAGTCTTCATTGATCTGGAAAACTTTTAATCTTTCCTTCAATTATGAATGATAACCTTGCTGGGTAGAGTATTCTTGGTTGTAGAGTTTTTTCCATTCCAGTATTTTTGAATACTTCATGCCACTCCCCTCTGGCCTGTGAAGTTACTGCTGAGAAACCACTGACAGCATTAGGGAGTTTCCTTTATAGGTAATTGTCTGCCTTTGTCTTGCTGCTTTTAAGAATCTCTCCTCGTCTTTAATCTTTGCCATTTTGATTACTACATGTCTTGGTGTTGTCCTCCCTGGGTTCATCTTGTTAGGGGCTCTCTGTGCTTCTGGACCTGGATGTCTATCTTCTTCCCCAGATTGAGGATGTTTTCAGCTACTATTACTTCAAATAAACTTTCTACCCCTTTGCCTCTCTCTTCTCCTTCTGGGACCTCTGTTATGCAAATGCTGTTTCATTTGGAGTTGTCACAGAGCTCTCTTAACATCTTCTCGCTTTTAGAAATTCTTTTCTTGGTCCTCAGCTTGGTTGCCCTGCAGTTCCCTGTCTTCCATATGGTTAATCATTCCTCTGCCTCCTCCAGCCTACTATTCACTCCCTCTATTATACTTCTCCTCTCAGTTATTATATTCTTCAGCTCTGAATTTTAAAAAAATATATATATGTTTTCTATCTCTTTGTTGAAATTCTCATTGAGACCCTCAATTCTTTTCCCTAGTTCAGTGAGCATCTTTATGGCTGTTACTTTGAATTCTTTATCAGCATTGCTTATCCTCATTTTATTTAGCACATTTCATGGTGTTTTTTTCTTGTTCTTTTGTTTGGAACACAGTTCTCTGTTGTGTCATTTTATCTGGGTCTCTATGTTTCTTCCTTTGTATTGCGTAGATCAGCTATGCCCCTGGTCCTGAAAGTAGTGGCTCTATGTAGTAAGCAACCTGTGAACCCTAGAAGCTCAAACCCCTGCTCACCAGGGCCCAGCTTTCTGTTGTGGCTGAGTCACAGCTACTGTTTGTGGGTTGTGCGTGGGCCCTGCCTCTCTGCCTCTCTGCCAGTTATGCAGGCCTCCACAGGTAGCCTGTGTACATGTGACGTGAGGCATTTCTACTTGGATTCATTGTGGGTAGTCCTGCTGCCTGTCCATCAGTAATGGCTGACCACTGCTGGGCCAAGCAAGCTGGGCAGGGCAGGACTGCAGGGGAATGCCAGGGCCGAGCCAGTGGGGCAGGGGAAGAGCTTCAGAGCTGGCTTCCACAGGCATCTGGACAGCTGGCTGAGGAAGATCTGGAATGGTGCTGTCGGCCTGTCCTTTCTCCTCTGGGGAGGGCACCCTCAGACCCTGCCCCTCCAGCACACTTCCCAAGGCTAGCAAACCTTTCAAAGTGCTGCTTCTGTGTTGGCTCTCCATGTGACCAACAGCACACTGGTCCTCCACACGTGGCAGGAGTCCTGGCCGCCCATACCACTCCACCTCTCCCTGGTGACCAGCCTTGTTAATCATCAAAGCCCAGTGCAATGTGAACTCATCTTCCTAGAGCAAATCCCCAGGGCCAGGTGTGCCAGATTCCTGAGCATTTATTCCCCTTCCCACTCTTTTCTTCTCTGTGGCTTATGGGCTAGGATGAGGGGAAGAACCTGGGGCCCAATTGCTCAAGGATCTTCTCACTTACCCTTCTCAATGTGGTTTTCCCTTCCCCAGGTGTAGACGGTTAGTTCTACAGCCTTCAGATCATTTTCAGGGTTCACTGTATTTGATGTAGTTGTGTCCTTAGTGTGTGCACGGCAGGAGGTTGTCACAGTGACCTCCTATTCCACCATCTTCCTCCGAGTCTCTTATTTCTAAATATTGTACTGTTTTTGATGCTATTGTAAATGGGATTATTTTCTCAATTTCTCTTTCTGATACTTGCCGTTAGTGTATAGAAATGCAACTGATTTTTGTATACTATAACTTTTGTATACTGATTTTATTATTCTAATAGTTTTTTCTTCAGATCTTTAGTGATTTTTCTATATAAAATTATGCCATCTGTAAAAAAAGAGATTATTTTACTTTAAGAAAAGGTGATTTTGGACACAGAGACAGAGGCACAAGGAGAACAACATGAATGAATGGGGACAGAGATTGAATTGATGCATCTACAAGCAATGCAGGCCAAGGGTTGCAAGCAACCAGCTGAAGCTGGAAGATGCAAGGCAGGATCCTCTCTTAAAGGCTTCAGAGACCATGGGGCTCTGCCGGCACCTTGATTTCAGAACTCCTAGCCTCTAGATCAGTGGGGGAATAAATTTCTCTTATTTCTAACCCAGTTTATGGTCACTTGTTAGCAGCAGCTCTAAGAAACCAATATTAGTGATGCTGTGGACTTGTGCTTCTAAAAGAAAAATAAAAACCTAATAAATTTTCTCATAAATCATCTGAGAAGTAAGAGGCATCTAAGATCAAGGAGGAAAATCATGGTCTATATGTATAGAAGGGAGTAAAAGAAAAAAAACGATCCCAGTATAACCTGTGAATTTTTTTAGAAAGCAACATTTGAAATATTTTTCAACAATCCAGTTACTCAACTGAGACTTTGCTGTTGGGCTCATGAATTAATTGAATGAGCATGTTTCACGTGCAGAGAACCAGCAATGGGGGCACCGGGAAGAGTAGGGCTTTGGAGTCCCACAAGCCTGAGTTCAATCCAGCCTCCCCCACTCGCCAGCTGGTGGTCTTGAGCAAGTCACCTGATCTATATGAGCCCATCTAATCTATACGATGCCCCTCTCTAGGTTTGTTAGGAGGACTCAATGAGCCAATGTTTGTGATAAGTGCCAGGTACTGCCTTGCCCACGGGTACAATGCAAGGTACAGTTTGTTCCCAAACAAATTGAAACAAAAAAAAAGCATCTCCCGATGCTTGAAGGACATTCACGTAGGTGAATTGAAGCAGACCCAGAAACACCTTCACTTGATGGGAAAAGGGAGAAAGATGCATCTTTCTAAGAGCAGCAACTTTTAGAAAGAGCATGAAATAAACACGCAGATAGGCACCTCGGACAAAACAGCAGGATACGTGTTTCTCACTGTAAAGATTGTCTTTATTTGGTTTTCATCACTTTTCCATGAAAAAGCAGTTCCCAGCAGCACTATGCAATCACAAATCTTGCAACTACATCTGATAGGCCATGAAATTCCTAAAATGAAAGATAACTGTAAGAAAAATTTGTGGAGAGGATATGAAATATTAGCTTCATTATATGTAAGCAGGTTCCTGTCAGGGAAGAAAAATGGTACCATTGCTCCATTAAAGCCGCAATACAAACATACTGTTTTGCCTGTTTTCAAGCCAGTTGTTCATAGAGGGGAAACTGGTCTGCTCTTTTCTTGTTAGTTCACATAAACATGCTTGTGTATCTAACTATCCTCGCAAGACAAAACCAACGGGAATGAAAGCAAGGCTTCTCACTATGTTCAAAGTAGGTTCTGGGGTGGACGCCCCAGCGCTGCTCCAGAAGGTGGAGGGACGTGACAGTTTCTGTCATGTTATAGTAACAGGGACGCATGTAGAGACCATGGCACTAGCCCACCCTCTGGGCAGCAGACAGGCCCCTTGGGTTCTCTTTCTGCTCAGGAGTGCCCTAGCTCTGACGATCCGGCAGGACTGTGGTCACTGGGGTTGGGTATTCCAAGGCATTGCAGTCATCTGACAGGAACACCAAATCCTGAAAAACATGTGCAAGGAACAGGGATGTCACTACACATGGCTGCAGAGCCCATGCACAGCTGTAGGACTCCTGGTCATCCCCAAAGACTGTCTAGTTGTTCCTTTTTGCATGAAAACTTCCCATCCCTTTCTCTCCCAAGAAGAACTGGTCACATCTTTCTTCATGTTTCCATAGAATCCTATATATTCTTTTATTATTTATTGAATCAATGCATACATTAGTTGACCAGATGCCTAGATGGCTAGATGGGGGAGGTAGTGATGAATGAATAAATCTCAATTACTGAGCAACAATTCTGGGCCAGGCATTGGGGACACCATGAATAACAGCACCGATGTCACCTTCAAGCACTTTAGATTCAATAACACCACTTATCAGACTGTGTTACATCTTCTTCCTGTCTTCTCCCCGCTGACCAACGGGAGAGGGGATTGAGGAGGGAAATCGGTGTGGGGAGGAAATGCATAATACACATTTGATGCATGAACAAATAAATTAGAACTTAATAGCTAATTATTAAAGTTTTCTGAGGACTTACCCTGTGCCAGGCCTGCTGTAAGAATTCTATGTCTAGCCACTCTGCTGGGGTTCTTGGGATCAAGGGAGTCACTACAGGGCCTGATACACACATGGGGAGGGTATAATTTTTTATACCCTCATGAGATGGGCCCTGTCGGGTCTCCAGGTCTTGGATGAGGGTGCTATCAGGCAGGGAGGTGGCGGGTGTTCCCACGCAGGAAGCAAGAAGATGGAGGCAGAAGCTACGTCTGCCTGATGCTGAAGCCTGTGCCCGGAAGGTCACATGACTACCTTGTCATCTTAAACAGTGCTAATTTTCTGCATTTCTCTGTCTCCTTCCCCTTCCTACCAGAATTCTCCTATCACAGAGCACACCTGAAGCCCCTCCCCTAGGTGTCCTCTGACCCCTTGGCTCCAGGAGTTTTTCAAATTGCACAGCCCTTCCCTGTACCCTTGTCCCGTTTGACTCCAGGCAGAATCTGTGTTGCATGGTTAACACGTGGTCCTGGGAGCTGTCTGCCTGTCACTGTGAAGCTCAGGAGAGGAGGGCCTTGTCATGAGTCCGTCACTTGCTGAGGGTGACAATGGTTAGAAACGGCTTTGTGAACTGGAGTACCCCATAAGCATAGTTTTTCCTCCGACCCTCCTCTTATAAAAGCTCTGAAAGTCTTGGCTGATAAGTAGGAAAGGAATTTTCAGTGGGGTTTTCAGTGGTGTCACTTACTCTTCTGCAGAATGAGTTCATGATGGTGTACAGTTTCCTCACTTTGTCCTTCAAGGCATCTACCTGGGCCACCTTCCAACACTGGGGTGATGCCACAAAGTCCCGCAGCTTGGCCAGCACACAGTAATTCTGGGAGTGGACAACAGGGAGGGGTCTCATCAGAGAAGTCAGAGGCAGAGGGACTGGAGCTGGGGCTCTCTCCCCACCCCCTGCCTCCCCCAGGCAGGCAGACCCCTCTTACATGTATATCCAGGTACAGCCGGGGCAGGTATCTGACACACTGCTCCTGCAGAAAGGGACATGGGTCACTGAGATGCCCACAGGGTCACACCCTCAGCTGGGCACAGAAGCTCTCCCCTATCCTCCCACAGTCAGACCAGCTCCAAACCCCTGGAGCTTCCTCGATGGGACAGCATAGGCAGTACTTTCTTACAGTGTATGCCGCATTCCTCCAGAATTGGGAAACTGCTCTTCCAGAATTCAACTTTTAGACTACAACCTTTATATCATTTACTATAAATCAGATATATGTGCATGTAATTTTATATCACTATATTTTGATTTTGCTTCTGTTCAGGTCTAAAGGCCAGGAGACCCAGATCTGGTCCTGCCCTGCTAGTGTCTTCCTGGGTGACCTCGGGCAGTCTCCTCCCATGTGGCCGTTTGTCATTTGTGTAATTAGAGTTAGAATACACAGTTTTTACTGCTGTCCAGCTCTGCTGTTCTGAGCCTATGATTTCTTTTTTACCCTTTAAGATTTGATTCCTTTCAAAGGTAATTGTTCTAGATATTTGGTGACAAGGAATTTGGTTAAATTGTGATACAACTATACAAAAGGTTGTTCTAAAAGAATATTAACTTATTTGATGATGTCATTAAGAAGTAAATTGCAGAACTGTGTTATTTGATCTGATTTGCTTAAACACACATGCAGACGTACACATACACACACGCACATGCGCACACAAGGACCTGAATACCTTTGTGTAGTCAGGGAGCTGAAACACTGACCACCGGAATGTAATTGCCGCAGTTACCTCTAGGTGGTAGAATTGCAAGTAATATTTATTTTCTTCTTCATCCCTTGTGCATTTTCCAACTGTTCTACAAAGTACAGTGGTCCCCCCTTATCCATGGGGGATACATTCCAAGACGCCCAGTGGATGCCTGAAACTGCGGATAGTACCAAACTTTGTATAGACTATTTTTTCTCCTAGACATACATCTCTATGTACCTATGATAAATTGAATCTATAAATGAAGCACAATAAGAGATCACCAACAATCACTTATAATGAAAGAGACCAATTAAAACAATATAATATAAAAAGTGATGTGAATGTGGTCTCTCTCTCACAACATCTTATTGTACCACCCTTCTCATGATGATGTGAGATGACAAAACGCCCCGCAGGCATTGTGACCTAGCATTAGGCTACTACTGACCTTCTGACCATACATCACCTGCTTCCGGACCTTGGTTAACTGCAGGTAAACTGAGGCTGCAGATAAGGGGAGATTGCTGTATATGGCTTTTATAATTAGGGAAAAAAAGACACTTTTTTTAAAAAAAAGTTAAAAGTTATTTAACTTTTAAAAAGAAAATAAAAGAAGGTGTTAGGGTTCCATAACTCCACATCTGGGAAACATTCAGTTTTGTTTGAAGTGTTTACAAGGGGTAAAGAGACACTTTTGTCACCAAAGCTTTAAATAAAGTTGAGTTCGTTTTGTTTCTCTGCTGAATAAGCCATCAGGGGGCCCATATTTTGGTTCCTGGGTCTCTGGCACTTCCCCTCTCAGAGCTCCTTTAATACAGAGGCGATGACAACCTCCAACATTCCAGGCGCGTCCGGGGAGGCACTGCTCTGGGCGCTGGGTCTCCATGCAGCCTTTCATCCTTCCAGCGCCCAGAGCTGGTGATGGGACCCCCCAGCCCCCTTCACAGATGGAGACACTGAAATTCAGGGGCTGACAATCTGCCCAGCATCCCACAGCCGGTAAGGGCGGAGGGCACGCTGGGAGGCTCCCCTTCAGCACATACTCCTAATCACCGGGCTCATGGGCAGAATACAAAGGCTTCGTTCTCTGGTCCTCAGTTCCAGAGTTCTAGGCTCTCTGAGGAGCATTTTATTTTCATTCTCTACATTTTACAACAGATCCTGTGATAGTTGCCAGCACGTTACAAGCAAAAAGTGCCATGTCTTTGATTACTTTTCCTTTTATTTAAAAAATAGCATAAACCATTGATTGTATTTAATAGGATGGAAATAAAATACAATACCCTTGGAATTAATATTGACAAGAAAAAAAAAACAGCATTTTTTTTATACCCCTGGTCCAAAGGCAAATATTTGAGAACTGGGTCTGCCTAGAACCTCCTGGTGTGTGGAGGTCAGGCCGGAGGGGACTCACCGCGGGCGCTGTGGCCTGCAGGCTCTGGAAGTCCCTGGTGATCTCCCGGCTCAGGGCCAGCATCCTGGAGTAGCAGGTTGGGGGGACGGGCTGCACGGCGGGGGGCCTGGCCAACAGCAGCAGCAGGGGCAGCAGCCGGGGTGTCATGGTGCACAGGCCACGCACTGCCTCCCGCTGGCTGGCTGGGCCCTGCTTTAAGCAGCTGCTTAGGGGTGGTCCTCCAAGCCTCCATTTCCTGTGGGGCCCAGCCAAGGCCATCGAGCACACACCCCTGGCAGGGGACACTGGATCCTTTCAGACCTGAAGTCCCCCCTTGTTGAGAAGAGAGGCTGCTTGGCTTGGGACTCCTGGAAGGGGAGCAGGTCCTTCCCCTGCACACTTTCTATAGCAATTTCTCTCAGCAGCGCCTTTTCCTGAAGCGGCAGGGCCTGCAGGCCAGGGTGTGGGGGACAAGAGGAAACAAGGATGGACGAGGGGGAGGATCAGCCAGAGGCGAGGGGTGGGCCCTCACAATGGGGGTTGTTGTGTGAAACTGGAACATGACTGAGAAAAGGGAAGGGACCACAGTGATAGCCTGAGCACCAGGGACCCAGGCTGGGGTTGGGCAGCCTGGGTGTCAAAGCCCAGCGGCTACTGACCAGCTGGGGCGGCCCTGGGCGGTCACTGTCACTCTGAGCAGCCGCACCTCTGCATCTGGAAGACGGGCTCATGCTGGAGCCCATGGTGGGGGGGATGCTGAGCGTACCCCAGCTGGCCTACTGCAGGCCCCCGATGCAGGCCCCGGAGTGGGAGCTCCTCAGGGAGCTCCTTCGCTTCTCCTCCCCAGCCTTACCTGGGAAATGGGGGTGAGGGGAGCCCCTCACTCAGAAGACCATGGTGAGGAATGAAGGACTGTGAGCTGGTGTCGCCATCTGAGCTAATGTCAGTTTCCATTCCTACAAGTGTCCCTGTGAAGCAGAAAACCGTTCTTTTCCAGGTGGGAAAATTGAGGCACAGAGAGTTTCAGCAATTTGTACAAGGTCACACAGCTGGAGGCAAATGGGTCCAGACAGGACTCTGGTCTGTCCTCCTCCATCTTCCCACCTCCCAAGGAAGCAGGACCCTTGCAGTCTGAGGAGTTGTCAAAAGAAGGAGGGAGGTCCTGACCTAACCAGCATCACGCAGGCACCAGCAGTGGTGTATGAACCACTTCGGCGACAAGTCTACCACTGTTGCTGCAAATGCCACAAGCCTCACAGAGAACACCCGGCTCCGGCCTCTCCCTGCTGCGTTTGCCCAGAGAAATCCCGTCCTGGTCCTAGTGCCTGTTCATTCCCACTCCATAGACAGTAGCATCACCCAGTCCTTTCCAGCCCCCACTTTTTATTCGTATGGCTTTCTGGGGTTACAGCCCTGAGTGGGGACCACAGCCATGCCACCCTGCTTTGCAGGTCAGAGTGTGTTCTCCAAACACCTTTAACAAAATGACCCCAGGGACCGTCTCCTGGGCACCGTCTGGAACAGGGCAGAACTGTGTGTATTTGGAGGTGGGCAGGCAGCAAACAGATGTGTTTTTCTTCTGGGTGAAGGAGTCTTCTCTCTCCCTCCATGGAGGTGCCTGGGGCGTGGGCCTCTCTGGCAGACTCGCTGGCCCCAGCCAGGACTCCAGGTCTGCTTTGAAATGCCCCAGGGCTTCAGGGTTTGTTCATCCAGTGAGCTTCACAGTCAGCACAGGGGAGGAAAACAAGCCCAGGACCTTTCAGAGTGCGGGGCGTGGCTGTGCCGGGGCGGGAGCTGTCTGAGCCTTGAAGTTGAGACACAAGTGCCTCTGGAAGATCCGACCTTGCTCTACCCCAGACATGGAGGGTGCTTGCTGATGGCGCCGCCTCTGGGGCATATTAGCAGCTTCCCCTGCCCTGAGCATCAAACACCGAGGCTCTGATCTCTTGTGTCTCTTAGCCGCCATGCAAACCTTTTTCATCTCAGTTTGTCAGCACCCAGCACCTGGCCAGGCAGAGCAGATGTTCGGGAACACTTTGCTGATTTAACTGCATGGCTGTTAATCTTGTTACTCAGGGCAAGACATAAGCCCACGAAGGAGGCCCTAGAGCACAGCCCTGCTCAGCCCCACACCGGCTTCCCAAGTTTCCCTGCCGGGGATGCAGGCAGTTCTCAGGAGACGCGCTTTGAGCAGAATGGGACTGCTGCAAATCCAGGTGGGAACCCTCCCGCAGAGCCTTTGTCTGCTGCCGAAGGCTTCTCCCATACCCCTTAGTGTTTCAGAGGGGGCAGGAGCCCCATCCTGGCATGGTGCCTCCTTATGCCAGGGCAGCTGAACGACTGGCCCTGAGGAGCGGGTGAATAGTCCTCAGCTAGATACCATCCATTTTCTTTGAATGGCTTCTCCATTCACTTGCTGATGCATATTTATCGAGAGCCTGCTATGTGCAGGCCTGAGATGGACAATAGGGATAAAACAGTGAATGAAAGAGACGGAGCTGCTGTCCTTTGAAAAGGAGATCAAGGAGACAGCCAGCTCACCAAGACACAGGGTAAATGTCCAGCCAGTGGAAATCCCGGGGCTGCAGGAACCGCTCACTGGCCGTGGCTCTTCCTGCGAGCTGAGGAATACTGCGGGGAGGCGTGGTGGGCATGGAGGTGTGTGTGCAGAGGGCAGTGTATCAGAGAGGGATTTGGAAGATGCTGCACTGCTGGCTTTGAAGATGAAGGAAGAGGCCACAGGTCAAGGAAAGCAGAGAGCCTCTAGAAGCTGCAAGGGGCAAGAAAAAGGTTCTCCCCTAGGCCTCCACTATCACTTCCTGATAGGCTGCCCTACCATTGCGACCTTTCTTGGCAGGCCTCCACCACTGAGTCAGCCAGTTTCTCGCTATAAATCTCTTACTATGTCTCTGCTTCTGGTTCTGCTTCTTTGGTTGAAACTGAACGGACACACATACCGTTAGCTCCATCCTAAAGCTGAGTCTCCACGTGGTCACAAAGTGGCTGCCAGTAGAGTCCACAACACACGCTATCTCATCCCAGGGAGATGCTCTTTGTTCCCAGCCTTAAGGGGTTCTGGGAAATTCCTGAGTAGACAATTAGGTATGGGAAATCACCATTTTCCTGACCCCTTGTTCCTTGGCTCAAACTCTGAATCACACCAAATGTTCCCTGTGCTCCTGTCCTGTGCCTGCTTATGATGGCAGCCAGGGGCAGTGGCCATGGCCAATCTCAGAACCCCTCTGGGACCCAACGTCCAGCTAGTAGCAGTTGGCCAATGGCTGGAAAAGTTTAACAGCAGCTTCCATTTTGCAGGAAACATCACACTAGACACACAGTCTGAGATGCTAACATCTGGCTGAGAGGCCCCTCTGGGTGTCCCCATGCCTGCCTGCGTTCTGAGGTCAGAAGCCAAGAGCCGTGATGGCTGTGCTGTCCTGGGCCAGCAGTGACAGCCAGGAGGTATTTGGGGCAGGGGGTGGGCTTAGCACCAGCCAAATGCTGCGTCCTGTGTTCCTGTTGACTCAGTGCTACTTTGGTTAAAAGCGACACATAGCCCCGTTTATGAGATGTGTTTTTGAGCTTCTTACTTGTACTTTTGGCAAAGCCAGCGGAAAGCTGGCCCATAGTCCAGAGAGAAGGAATGAAGACAAACACTGAGGCTGGGTTTGCTTTGGGGCCATGATATGAAAAGAATCCCAGGTTTTAGACTAGAGACCCTCTATAAGCCTCAAAACACGCTTTCAAATTTTAATGGGAAACAGTGTGCAGGGCAAGTTCTCCCAAATGCTTTCTCTGGGCCTGTTTGTGCAGGAAGGACTCAGAAAAGCCTTCCTAGAAGAATCCTGGCCTTGGCTTGGGAGAAAGAGCACAGGATTTGGAGTAATACAGACTTCAGTTTAAAGCTCACTTCCATTAGGATGTGACTGTGAACCTTGCCATCCTCCGTCTTGCCCGGATGCATGGGGCTTACAGCGTTTATCACACGGAGTTTTGTGAAGAAGAACGTGAGACAGCTGGAGAGACAATGGGAGCTGTGGTTTTCATTTTCTTTATCTGTTCTTCCTTTTTGTTTTCTTTTATTATAGACCTTGTTCCTTAACTCCATCTTGGGCCAGTTCTTCTGTCCCAGTTGATGATGGTGATGGGTATCAATAACAGCTTTCCTTGAGATTAAAAGGAGAATTCAGGAGGAACGTCACTCTTGTGTCACCAGCATCCATATGGTGGTCCCCAGTCATTAGATGCCCTGCCTGGAGTGGGCCCCCCTGCTGGAGGAGTGCGCCAGGCCATATGTGCATCATCTGCCCCAGGAGACCGGGGGAAGAGTCCAGATGGAGCTGCAGCCGTCCCCGATTCCAGCGGCAGACACTGAGTCACGCAGGTCCTCCTTGGACTCTGTCAACTGCCCTGGCACCATTTCTAGCTACAGATGTAGTATTTTCTTGTGGCTGGAGCTGGTTTCAGCGAGGTTGCTTCTATCTCTTGCAAATGAAAGAGCTCTGACTAACACAGTACCCAGCACAGAGCTGGTGCACACACCGCTGCCTTCTCTCTGGTGACTCACAGTGTGCGGCCACCGTTAGCGCTGGTCCTTAAATATGTCCGGGCTCAGTGTTACAGACCCATGGCTAGTGGAACCACTCTGCTCCCTTGAGGTTGCTGATGGCCATGTGAGTTATTTTGTGCAATGATGCATAAAAACACATGGTGGGTTGTGCCTCCAGGCGGAAGCTGTGAGAGCCCATGCATGGTTGCCATGCCCTCTCTCTGGTACGGGGTTGCCTGAGTCAGAGATGGTGCACTGCCAGCCTCACCCTGAGGAGGAGAAGCCCTGGAGTGATGCCCCACCCCACCTGTGGTTTATCATCATGGCAAATCCTAGCTTTGCCTGACTGTGGTAGGCCAGATTCCGTAATGGCCCCCAGTGACTCCTGCAGACCCGCTTCCCCTTGCGTGTAGGAGGAGCCTGTGTATAGGATGAGGCATTGCTCCCGTGGTTAGTTTAGTTAGATGGCTAAAGGGATCATGCAAGTGCTCTGAGACTACTAATCAGTTGACTTTGAGTTGATAAAATGGGAGAGTACCCAGGTGGGCCCGACGCAGTCCCATGAACCCAGTGAAAGCAGAGCTTGCTCTGGCTGGTGGTGGCAGGGCGAGCCAGAGAGATTCCG